GGCCTCCCGCGGCGCGGAGCTGCGGGGAGGAGGCTGCCGAAACGGGCGGCAAGCGGGAGCGGTTGCACGCCGTACACGTAGCACTTGGTGGTGCTTATGTTCTGCAGGTATACGGGCGCGCTTAATAAATATGTGCCCCTGAAATGCAACTGAGATTGCCCAAAGCACAGCCACAAACGCCTCCGTATCCCCAGAAGCGAACAGGGGGGTTTTGAACCCCCCCAAAACCTACGGTAGGCATCCTGGGGTGGGTTTGAGTGCAAACAGGTGTCCGATCCAGCTGAGTGCTAGCAGGGCTGCAAGCAGTACAGGCTAAATAGCAGTGTGATCACGAAGAAGCCTGATGAGATTATACATAAGCACGTATGTAAAGGACTACATCACAGGGCAAGTCACTTTTCCTTCTGAAGAAGAAGGGAAAATGATCCAGGCTGTCCTACACTTCGGGAAAATCTGAGTGAAGGCTTTCTTTCCCCTTCTTAAGTCTCTGTAGAGAGGTTTTACTAATATTTCATTTAGTATTTGGCATAAAATAGCATTAATTATTTGAAGACCGTTCTCAGTTTTGTGAAACTAAACACCTGCATGCAGATCTCTCTCCTCTCTATAGCAGGAGCTAGGCTGCTAGCTTGGATCTTGTGGTCAAACTGCAATAATTTGTTGTGTCAAGCAGTGCCAAATTATGTGTCGTTCATCAAAACTACTTATGTTGTTACACGGTAAGAACACGCATAGTTCCATACACAGCTCAGGCAGCAGCTGGGCTTTAACCATCACTGGAACATAGTTCTCTTTTTCTCTGCTGGGATGTGCAAATTGCATAGCTTTCCCCAAAGCGTTAGCGTTACCCGAAGGTCATTTCATACACAGCAGAGCCCAGCTCTGAAGGTGCTGTGCTGGTTATAAGGATGACACAACAGCGAAGGTAACCATGGGATGACACCTCTCTGCCATTTCCTCCGCTCTCCACATCAACTGCGCAGCTCTTTTCTGTTACAACAGTGCTAGACAGAGGATGTCAGTGCAAATCAGGAGACTGAGGGTATGAGCTTCTAGCAGAGATCAGGCAGAAGAGAAAGGTCCATGGAATGTGGAAAGAGGGGCAGGCCACTTGGGAAGAGTACAGAAATGTGGTGAGAGCATGCAGGGATGCAGCGTGCGACGAGGAAGGCCAAGGCCCACCTGGAATTGAAGCTGGCAAGGGATGTCAAAAACAACAAGAAGGGCTTCTTCAAC